ATGTTGGAAGTTATTGTATTCATAAGACAGCATTATTGGTGCATAATTTGCTAAGTGGAGAGAGATAGTACTATTCAGTCTTACAGCATTATTCACAGTTTTTTAAAGAAGAGGTTCTAAATAATGGTATTGGTATGGGCTTTTCCCTACCTTCATGATTCACATATTACTGGAAAGCAAGTGCTTTAAAGTTACAAGATAGACTAATATGTACTACAGAAGCTGGTAGTTGCAGTTGCTAATAGCTAAAGTCTTATATGATCCTTAATTATGGCCCAGTGGGTAGTAACAATATACAGTACATATGGTGTCTTGGCCTGGGCAAAGTATTATTTCTGAGGTAGCTGACTATCATAGACTGGCATTGTCCATCTGGACAACTACTGCCCATCCCTGATACGACATTTGAGCTGATAGTCAAGAAGCCCCTAATGTGTCAAATTCTTTGTCAGTGACACGCTGGGGACCTGGAGCAGGGATTAGAAGAAAGCATTATTTTCCCATTACATTGAAACACTGTCCTAAAGGATATTGACCAGCTGACTACGGCCTGGTGCACTCAGTAGACTTCAGTGTGTGGAGTAATCAGGGGCGAGGGTTGAAGACAATGCAGAACAAATGTGTAGGACAATGTGGGTGAGGGTGGGGGAGGTAGGACTGGGTGAAGGGTCACCATGTAATTATCAAGCCACTTTGTGCTATTAAACTATAGGACCCCAGACCTAATCTTGGACTCTATGGGAAAATACTTGGGGTTGGGAGCAGCTACAAGGTTGGTCCTGAGGGTTAGTGGAGAGGGAGAAAAAGGTGTTTTAAAGTGTATGGCCAGGCACTACTCCAGATGCTGTTCTACACACAACCTTGGCGTTAAGCTGGGTCGTTTCTCCCAAGGGCTGTGCATGACATGACAGCTACAAATAATTATTTGAAAGGCAGTTATAAGGCATTATCATAAACTGAATGAATGTGAGGGTAGTTTCAAATTCACATTTATGAAAGGATAACTGCTTATATTAATACAGTGGTCCTGCAAACTAGTTTTTTACTGTTAGTTGGATTTAGGGTTATGCTTATAATACTGCCACATTCACTTATATGGTATATCTATACACTTTCTTGAGTAGGAGAGAGAGCAAGCATGTTGGGAACTGCATAGAGCTCTGAATATTCCCATGGGAGTGTGTCAGGCACAAGAATATCAGCAGAAAGGAAAAGGTAACTGCCGCACCAAATAATGAAAGCCTTGTCTGACCAACATTTTTTCAATTTAGGTACTCTGACTTTTGAGAGGAACGATTGCAGATACAGGTTTATGAAATTTCCAATATGTTAGTATAAAATTATTAAATTTTCAATATGTTAGTATAAAATTATTAAACTGTGGATTTCATGGCCTTCCTCATCCCCTCTGTCACTTTAATTTCTTCCCCTCTTACTATTCTGTCAACAGAAAGGATAACAACTTCTCAGGTGAGTCTTGAGAAAAAAGCAATTAGAATGGAATAAAAACCATGGGGACCTAGCAGATGAGAGAGTAATATCAGCATGTAAGTATGAGAGAAATCTGGGGGTTGGGGATGCTACAGAAAAGGAGAGTGCAGAAGAATTTGAAAGCGTTGTTGTGGATTATACACCTGGACTCCTTTTCAGGTTTGACAGATATAGGAGAAAAGATGGAAATTCTACATATGTTATGTTTCCTTAATCCAACATCACTCTGGGGCAGACAACTGGGCTCTGCGATTTGGGAGATAGAGAAGCAGTGTCAGTTTTATGAGCATAAAACAAACCTGGCGTTCTTTAGCTAATATGGTTATCCTTTAATCTATCATGTCTCTTCTCCCTAAACAGTCTCAGCTCTCTGGAATCATGAACAGAGTGGGTGGGTGGTATTGGAGGTAAGAGAGCGGAGAAGGAGAACCCATCCAGGCTGCTGTGAAAATGAGAAAGCTGATAAAGGTTCAGGCATGTGAACCTTAGAACACTGATTCTTTTTGTTTTTTAAACAAAAGTATATTATATTAATGGCAAAAACAGTAGCACATATGTCTTTGCCAGAAACAAGGATAGCAAAACAGTCACAAAACTTCCATTTGGTTTCCCAGAGATCAGACTTTAGAATTGAATCAAGGTGCCAAGTTTATATAAAGCACCCAACTTTTGGCCTGCGTGCGGCAGTGCTATCGCAGAGCTTGCCACTCATGGGGCTCTTCCACTAGACTGCTGAACAGCCCACTAAATCACAGACCTCTGGCCCTCAGATACACCCTCTCATCTTGACTTGACCTCTGGATCCCTGTTACTTTTTGACACTTTCTCATCTTAGATTCTTCATCAATATTTTCCAAATATCATGATCATTCATAATCTTGAAAAAGCAAAGAGGAAATTGTTTTATCTGCTTTTCTTCAAAAAGGTTTTTACATGCCTGCTTCTATAGCTATAGCACAGTCAGAGAGCTTTGTTGATGGGCACTGATTGTGGATTCTGTTAACTCTAAACCACAACGAGGGGCCCAGATTAAAGGATTTCAGTTTACAGATGCCAGTATCCTCTTCCATTAATGCAGACTCACTACTAGCTCCTTCACCTCAATACTATAGCATGACCAAGTCACCTCAATAGCTGATATAAAAACAAAAACCTCACGAGGTCAGGAGATCGAGACCATCCTGGCGAACACGGTGAAACCCCGTCTCTACTAAAAAATACAAAAAACTAGCCGGGCGAGGTGGCGGGCGCCTGTAGTCCCAGCTACTCGGGAGGCTGAGGCGGGAGAATGGCGTAAACCCGGAGGGCGGAGCTTGCAGTGAGCTGAGATCCGGCCACTGCACTCCAGCCTGGGCGACAGAGCAAGACTCCGTCTCAAAAAACAAAACAAAACAAAACAAAACAAAACAAAAAACAAAAACCAAGAAACATTTCCTCTAACTACTTTTCTTTCTCATCAGAGACAGGTTTCTTGAAAAAAATTGGTACTATGTATTGCTCCTTTCTCTTAGCTCATATTCACTCTTCCTCTATTGTAATCTGTCTGACACAACTTTATTGAAAATGCTGTACCAAAGGTTGTGCATGCACACCTGAATGTCTTATTGCTGAATCCAATGGAGACATTTCATGTTTTATTTTACTGCAATTTTGTGAGGCCTTGGACATTATACTCCTTGAAACGCTCTCCTCTTTTGGCTTCTATGATACTGCTCTTCCCTGTTTTCCTGATTACTTGTCTGGCTTCTCTTTTTCAGTTTCCTTTGGGTACTTTTTGTTCAGTTCATATCTTAAATTAGAGGGTTTCATCCTTTCCACTCTTATTTGCATTCTTTATATTCTCTGTGAGCTATCTTAACTACAGTTAAAGCTTCAGCTACAATCTATATGCTGATGATCTTCAAATCTACATCTCTAGCCCAGATCTTTTTACCTAGGTTCAACCTATAAATATAACCGTCTAGATGTCCCACAGGCTTCTGCAACTCAGCATGCTCAAAATGGTCTCATTTCTATTCCAAAAACTTGTCCCTCTCCCTCTCTCTGTGGTAATACCATCAGCCAGCTTGTATAAGAAAGAAACTTGACAAACATCTTTGATTCTTTTTCTCCTCCATCCTTCCATATTCAATCAGTGACTAAGATGCATTGGTTTTCCTAATAATAAATGTTATTACTTATTAGAAAATAATAATAATAATAATAATAAAATTCTCTTATCTCCTGACCCCCAAGCTCATTCCCATTTCAGAAGTCAAGTCCTGATCTTTTCTAGCTTTATTTACTGAAAACGTTAAAACTGTCTCTGTTTCCAGTTTTGTTCCTTGTTTTGCACTCACAGTGTAAATCGTCCCTAGAGTGATCTTTCAGAAATGCAAATGTAATCACGCTATTCCCTTGCTTAAAATCCCTCCATGGCTGTCCATCGCTTTCATGATAAAATCCAAAGTGCCTTTCCTTCCTTTACTGCTTCCTGTGTTGGACTTCTTTAGGGAAGATGGGCCAGAGTAATAGTTTAATCTTTAGCTATTTCATGCTTGGCTTCACTTTACTGAGGCTGCCAATTAGTGATTTAGAGGTGAACTCTTAAGTGCTCTGCTGTGAACTGAGGTCTGTTTCAAATAGTCCTTGAAGAGCCTCGGCCTTACCGTCACTGAAAACCTGCACTGGCTTGAACCTGTGATCTGAAGTTGAATGTCTGAATAGCCCCCAGCCATCCCCTGAGTGAAGAAGGTGAGCTTTGGATATACGTTGGTGATTTCTAAGTCCAATTTCTCCTAAATAAAGAAATGTTTTAAACTTAATGATATTCAAAATGTAATATTTTCAGACATAGAAGATAGTCTTTTTTTTCTACGCTTCTTATAATTGCACTTCACAGGGAAGTGAGTAGGTCTTCTCAGGTCTACTGACTTTTACAAAATGGTGTATGAGTGCCTCCGTTTTCTTGTCTTGTTATCTGTTCTTTTCTGGTTTTTGGAATGGAGAGTAACAACAACTAGATGTGATCATATCAGCAGGAAATATCCTTCCTCTGGGCTGATTCACAAATTGCCCCTGTCTGGCTTGCCATTTCAAATTGAGGAACAGAACATAGAATAGGCAAGAAAATTAAAGGGGCTGCGCGCGCGCGCACACACACACACACACTCTCTCTCTCTCTCTCTCTCTCTGTCTCTCTCTCTACTTCTAAAGGTAAGGAAGGATCAATCGATTTTAAAAGGCTATGTAAATATCAAAGACCCAAACAGGACAAGATATCAAGAAAGTAATTCAGAAAGATTAGAGAGAGACAAAAGGGGAATCTGTTATCTTGTTTTAAAAGAGTCCATTTTTACTTTAATGTTAATCATTCTCTTTTTCTGCTGATAAATGAAATATGGTTTCTACAAAGTCAACAACTAGACAGTTATCAAGGCATTTTTTTCCTTTTTACCTGTTATTCTTATCTATAGCCTGAAAGAAACTATAATTGTCAAGAGGAAAAAGCTCAACATTATGCCTCTTACACAAGGATGTCCTCCACCAGGGTGTGAAGGGCACTGGGATTTCGGATCAGTTTGTCAAGGAAGCTGACAATGTCAGTAAATTTTGGTCTGTGATTTCTCTCCTTCTGCCAGCAATGGAGCATCAGTTGGTGTAGAGATGCCGGACAGCCCATGGGAGCTGGAAGTCTGTACCCTTCTTCAATGGACAGAATGACCTAAATGCAAACATATACAGATTACTCTCTTATTTTTAGGCAGTAATACATATGCTATGTTATAATTTCTTTTTATACAAGCAGAAGAAGCCAAAATAATGGTAAGCATGAAAACTACTTGTGAGTACAAGGACCTACATAAGGATAAATACAAAAGCTGTGAACAAAAATTGCAAGTAGCTCCAAAGCATCTGCTCACCCCTATGAGAGGAAAATATGTTTTAAACATGTGCTACCAGTATAGAGGAGGTTAAGTTCATTACAACTTTAAGAAATAACTTTTTTGTGTGACTTAGCTGGAACATCTCAAAACCCAATTAGAACATCAGAAAGTCAGCGTTGTGATTGATGCATTTAGTGCAAATTACATATAACAAATGTCTTAAGTAAAAATTTTAAGAAAAATTCTGCTGAAGCACTGATTTCCTGAGTCATTTTTTATCCTTTTATAATAATGTCAATGTGTATTCTGTTTCTGTCATCCCTTCTTTCTTCATCACTGATTTAGTTCCTATTCTCTTACATTTAGCTTTCCCTTAGTCTGACACTGACCTGATTATTAAGTCATACTCCTATAACTCCTAAGGTCATTTAATCCTTAAAATGCTATCACTGGCTAACTTAAGGCTATAGGGCAATAGGAGCATGAGCTTGAATGTCCTCTGAGCTAGTGTGCTTCAGCAGAACTTCTGTGATGACAGAAATGTTCCCTCTCTACAACATGGTAGCACACAGTCACATGTGGTTAATGAGCACTTGAAATACAGCTACTAGAATGAAAAAACTGAGTTTTCAACTTCATTTACTTTTAATTAATTTAAATTTAAATGTAGATAGTCACATGTGTCTAATGGCTACTCTATGGAATGGTGCAGCTCTCGGGAAAGGAATCTGTATAAGAGACCAAAGTTAAGAGTAACAAGATAACAATAACTATTTTTCTTGGTACTTAAGGAAATCACAAGATAAGGCAGGAAATTAATCTGTTTACTGTATGTTCCACCTTCCTAGCAATATGATAATACTGACCCTGAATTTATGTAGCCTAGGTTTTTATGACATGTTCAAAAGTATTCATGTGAACATTTATTCTTATCTCTGGGGAAAAGACAAAAGAGTTTATTGTCACCATTGTTGAGTTTGGAAAACAGAGGAACAGACTAATATTTAAAGACAGGCAAAATTTAACTTCCCCCTCCTCTGTCCCTCTCAAAAAAACCCCCAAAAACCAGAAATATAAAAATGCAATTTGATTTCTTTTTAAATTTACACTACTGGACATGACTCTAACATATTCTTAATTTATGTTAGAGGCTGTTTGTAAAAAAGGAACAATATGTCTGCAGGAACCTCTTAACTGCGAAGTTTTAGCTTTTTAGTAATAGGGAATTTCTCATCATCTCATCATTGTCTTTTTGACCAGACCACCTAGCCTGTCAGGATACTAGCATTTTTCTATTCATTTTATATTTTGTTATTGAACAGGATTTTTCTCATCTGTTTTCTGACTACTTTTACTACCAACTAGGCTTGGATTTTAAGATTTTGTTACACGTTTTATTAAAGCAGGATGTGTGTAAAACACTTGCAATGCATTAAAACTATTGCGTATAGCCCAGAGAAGTAACTGAGAAAAATAGGATAGAATTCCGTTATAAAACAGTGCTGAAATCCCACTCTAGGAGTGCTTGATAGTCAATTTTCCAGTTATCTAATTATAAATGCATGGAATAAAATAGGTGACAAGTGAGGTTATATTCTTAGAAAAAAAAAGAGGTCCCTTTATTATCTACCATGTGCTATGTGCTTTGCATATTTTTATTCATTACTGCTTAAAATAGCTCAATATGGTAGATATTATTATCCCCATTTCTTAAATGAGACAATTTAGACTCAGAGGAATAAGGAAACTTGCCTAAATTCACATAGCTAGTAAGTGGCAGGGTTGAAATTTGAACTAAATTCCTTTTAACTTACAACATTTTCCTCTGACCACTCCCCAGAAATGCTTTTTAGTTCTCATGTTATAACATCTTCCTCTCCAATTTCTTATCACCCAATACAATTTTAGTAGTGATTACCATGCTATCTTTTGTCATGGCATCTGCTATTTGGACTTCAACGTTTTTACTCAGATCCTAAGTTTAATATTCTGGGTAAACAAAAATTATTTATTTCATAGTTTGCAAAATATAATCTCAAACTGAATAGAGTCATTTCTTAATGCCTCTGAGTCTTGTGCATGTATCTACGACTGCATCCATGACATTGCAGTGTAATTTTTTATCTGCCTTTCATCTGAGGCTGTACATACTGGAAAGCAGGAATTATACCTCTAAATTTTCTGTACTCATCGTTTAGTACATTGCCTGACACATTAATAAATATTATTGACCTAAACAAATGCTATTAGAAGAAATTTTTGGATTTGTCTTGATAGAGGAGCAGATTCTTGGAAAACTTAGTGTCTCGACCTATTCAAAATAGATTCAAAGTATAAACATGACAGCATTTGAAGTCCTCTCTGAAGGAAGTGTTGATTTAAAAACTGCTGTGTCAAGCAGCCTTGTCTGAAAATGATTTCATAATCTCACTCTGGGTTTCCTGGATAAGAAGCCAGATGAGACTGGAAGCTTGCTCTTCTCTAAGAGGTAGGTACTTGACCAAAACTTAGCTTTCTGTAAGATTTGTGGCTTCTGCCTCCTATCCAGAGGGTTACTATTTTCCACTGGCCCCAGGTCTTTAGCTTCAGATGACTCCTGTAGACGGTTGGCATCCAAATCTAGAATGCTTAGCATTAAGCAGGTTGCTTACGCCTCTTGACAAAGTTGCTCTCGTGCATGCCTTGTAAGAGTGACGAGCAGGTAGGTTCCTTTGCCTGGAAATTTTACCCACAATGCGTCCAGTAGAGCATGTGGTCCCGGCCTCTCTGTGGGGACAGTGGGAGGATCAGAAGACTCGTGACTTTTCTTCTTGCTGATCTCTGGCTTTTATAATTTCCTCAATTCTTTAACTTACAACCTTGCAAAATCTGTCTTGAGCCCTGGCTCATGACAGGTGCCAAACACAAAGGGACCCATCTCACAGGAAAAGAGTAACAATAAAGCAATAGTGACGTGATAAAAACAGATTATTAGCAATTACTGAGATCTCTTGAGTACTTTCAAGGCCAGTTCTAAACGATGTTCATGTATTAACTCTTTTAATCCTCACAATAACTTTATGAGGTAGGTATAATTGTTACCTCCATTTTACAGACAAATAATCATAAAGAAAGGTTTAATTTGCCTGAGATCACACATCTGAAAACTGTCTTCAAAGGTAGTCCGATAAGAAATTTATATTTTTTAAAGTAATTCACAAAATTGCTTAAAAGATGTATCTTTCTAACAGATTTTTAAATTTATTCATCCAAAGAGATAGATATTAAACACTTACTATGTACTATTGACCATTCTGTGTTCAAGGGATAACGTAACAAGTCAGGTATATCTCTGTCTTTAAGAAATGCATTATCTATTGAGAGTGACCAGGGACTATGAATATGAGAAGTGCCACATAGAACAGGCTGTTCTGGGAGCATGTGGGAGAGGTACCTAACCCAGCCTCAGGAAGACTTCTCGCAGGAGGTGACCAGACCTTAAGGGGTATGTGAAAGGGTGGAGGGCCAAGTGGGCGGGTTGAGGAAAGGAGATGTGATCTAGAATGCGAGTAGATTTAGGTGGCTAGAATAGTCTTCAAAGAGAGGAATGGTGAGTTTTGAGGTTGGGAGGTTACGTAAAATTATGTTTCTTGAGATCACGAAGGATTTGGCATGATATAAACTTAGACTTTACGCAAAGGAGAAAAGGAGTTTAGAAAGTAAATTTTGTTAGATTTCCCATTTAGAAAAGCTCACTGTGGCTGCAGTGCGGAGAGTGCACTGGGGAGTCAAAGGATCCAGGAAGGAGCTTTGCAGTGGTCCAGGCCTTAGTCGAAGCAATGGCTGTGGTGTTCAAGAAGTGAACTGATTTGACAGGACTGGGCTGAGATTAGACGTGACAAGTAGAGGGAGGAGACAAACAACTTCTAGAATTTTGGCTTCGTCAGCCGGCAAAGAGAGAGGACAGAGGAGAAGCAGCAAGTCTGGGACTGGAGTGATGATGAGTTCCATTTTCTATGAGCTTTCTGGTTTCAGATTCAACATATATACCTTTGAGAGTTTATTATGTGTCAAGTTCAGAGCTAGGTGTTTTAACACAGTTTACCTAATTTAGGTCTCAAAATACTTTATTATTTGAGTATGATTGTACACATCTTATAGGTAAGAAAACCAAAGCTCAAACTGATTAAAAGATTGGGTCAATATCACATAGCAAGTACTTTCATGAATAATAGCTTAGTATTATCATCATGATAGCCTCTCGATCACAGTAGTGGTAGATAAAATCTGTCCTGAGTCTTGCACCACATCTCTGACTCATTCCCCCGAATTAGACCTTGAGGTCTCTTTGTGGGACTTATATACTCCATGCTTTCACTATCACCTATCTCACCTATCTGCTTATGGTCTCCATGTCTGCAGCTCTAGCTCAGCTTTCTCTCCAGATTTCTATATTTATCACCTATAGGATACATCACTTCATAAAGGTATCTTGGATTTATTTTGTGCAAAACTAAACCCACTCCTCCTTTGGGATTTTTGTCCTTTAGGAAGGGTACTGCCATTCTTCTAGTGATTCAAGTTAGCGGTCAGGGAGTTATCTGGGCCTCTGCCTTTCCTGTTGCTCAAAATTAACTCATCATGCTGAATCTACCGCCTTCATAAAATTTAAATCTGTTCCATTTTTCATTCTGTCTTCAAATGATTTATTTCCCATTTTGATCACTGCAAAGGCCTCCCCATTGGTCTCCTCGCTTCTCCTTTTCCTCCACCAGTCATCCCCCACGATGCAATGAAAGCAATCCTACTGAAGTGGACCTGTGATCATGTTTCTCCCATATCTGAATTTCTGCAATGG